CTACATTTCTCAGACTGTGGGACCATCTTTTGAATCTGGCAAAACCCATAGCCTATAGATCCGGAATTGCTTATTGATGTCATTTGATTTCTTCTGGACACAATTGGCCTCCAAAGACTTTCAGACTCTACCTGAGCGGACGCTTGTTTATTGACATGGAAGTTATTTTTCTAGATTAACTTTTAAAATCAATGATTTTTAAATATCAATGCACACCAGAATCGCTCACTGGACACTGTAAAGTTAAACTATCTGGCCCCATGCTTAAAGACTATGATTCAGTAGGTCTGGGTTAGAGGCCAGAAGTCTGCATGTTTAACAGGCATCTAAGGTGATTCAGATGGTCAGCCTTAGAATTTGGCCCAGGTTTTGAACTAGTCTCTTTCTGCCGTAGTCTATTTTAATTACCTTCATTGAAGGATTTATTAGCGTCTCCATGTTTATTACCTGTTTCATTCTCATAGTATCACAGTAACTCAAGCGGGAACAAGAGGTGGTTAGCTCCATTTTATGGGATATAAGAAGGTGGAAGGTGGGATTGAGGCACTGGGAGAGGTAGGTCATGGTGAGTCAGAGACGGAGACAGGAACTGAAGTCCAAAATTGAAGACTCCCAAACCAGGCAATTTTCTGGGGCCTATTTTCTCAGCTTGTGATTTTATATTTAATCATAGTTATTCCCTGGGTCTCCAGTTCATTGTATTTGGGTAAGCAAAGCATATTTGTGTTTTAAACAAAGTAGTTTAGCATCAGGGTGCCAGTTTTGGTTACCATATCAAGGCTCTCTGAAGCTTCAGCTAATATCTAGAATAGCATGTGTGGAACTGACCTAATCTGCATCTCTTTGTGCTTGCTTCCTTTATTATTTCTGAAGAGTTTTTTTTTGAGACAGGATCTCACTCTGTCACCCAGGCTGGAGTGCAGTGGCAATCACAGCTCACTGCAGCTTCGACTTCCTAGGCTCAAGTGATCCTCCCACCTCAGCCTCCTGAGTAGCTGAAATGAGATGTGCACTACAGGCCTGGCTAATTTTTTTTTTGTAGGGATGCATATCTCACTATGTTGCTAGGTCTGGTCTTGAACTCCTGGACTCAAGCAATCCTCCTATCTCAGCCTCCCAAAGTGTTAGGATTATAGGTGTGAGCCACTGCACCTGGCCAAGACTTTTTTTTTTCTTTTTTTCTTTTTCTTTTTTTTTTTTTTTAAGACAGGGTCTTGCTTTCTCACCCAGGGTGGAGTGCAGTGGCATGACTCAGCTCACTGCAGCTTTGACCTCCTGGGCTCAAGTGATCCTCCCACTTCAGCCTCCTGAGTAGCTGGGACTATAGGTGCACACTACCACATCCTACTAATTTTTTTCTGTAGAGATGGGGTTTTGCCACATTGCCCATGGCTAGTCTTGAACTCCTGAGTTCAAGTGATCTACCACATGCACCACTGCCCCAGGTGGACTTTTTACATAAAGTATAAGGGAACAGATATCTCTTCTCCATACCTACAGAAATCCTCTCTGATCTTCTGTTAAAGCACTAAGTTAAAAAACTTCTTAGCCCTCTGTCTCTCAAAGTTGTGTAGTATTAAATATATGGATCCATTTTTAGCCTGGACTATATGGTGAGACTCTGTCTCCATACACACACACACACACACCTCTGGATGATGGTGGCACATAGCTATAGTCCTAGCTACTCAGGAGGCTGAGGCTGGAGGATTGCTTAAGTCTAGGAGTTTGAGGTTACAGTGACCTATGATTGTACCACTACACTCCAGTCTGGGAAACAGAGCAAGATCCTGTTTCTTTTTTTTCTTTTTTTTTTTTTTTGAGATGGAGTTTCGCTCTTGTTACCCAGGCTGGAGTGGTGCAATGGCATGATCTCGGCTCACTGCAACCTCTTCCTCTTGGGTTCAGGCAATTCTCTTGCCTCAGCCTCCTGAGTAGCTGGGATTACAGGCACGCGCCACCATGCCCAGCTAATTTTTTGTATTTTTAGTAGAGACGGGGTTTCACCATGTTGACCAGGATGGTCTTGATCTCTTGACCTCGTGATCCATCTGCCTCGGCCTCCCAAAGTGCTGGGATTACAGGTGTGAGCCACCGCACCCGGCTAATTTTTTTTTTTTTTTTTTTTTAAGATGGGGTTTCACCATATTGGTCAGGCTGGTCTTGAATTCCTGACGTCAGGTGATCCGCCCACCTCAGCCTCCCAAAGTACTGGGATTACAGACGTGAGCCACCATGCTCGGCTGACCCTGTTTCTTAAAAACACAGATACACACACAACAATGATAATTTTTTAAAATCCTGAAAACTCAGTCAAATCATTATTGTTATTATTATTATTTTAGAGACAGGGGTCTCACTTGTGTTGTCCAGGCTGGTCATGAACCCCTGGGCTCAAGTGATGCTCCCACCTCAGCCTCCTGAGTAACTGGGAGTACAGGCATGCATTACCATGTTTAGCTAGATTGTTTTTATTATGCTGTGGTTATTTAAATTTACAAATATTAAGTAGGAAATAATGTGCTTTTGTTTCTAGTTCTTTTTTTTTTTTTGAGACTGGAGTTTCGCTCTTGTTACCCAGGCTGGAGTGCAATGGTGCGATCTCGGCTCACTGCAACCTCTGCCTCCTGGGCTCAGGCAATTCTCCTGCCTCAGCCTCCTAAGTAGCTGGGATTACAGGCATGCGCCACCACGCCCAGCTAGTTTTTTGTATTTTTTTTTAGTAGAGACGGGGTTTCACCATGTTGACCAGGATGGTCTCGATCTCTCGACCTCGTGATCCACCCGCCTCGGCCTCCCAAAGTGCTGGGATTACAGGCTTGAGCCACCGCGCCCGGCCCTCTAGTTCTTATACAGCTAAAATACCACAACAAATTTACAAAGTAAATACAAATGAAACCACAAAATGAATACTATTCAGTTAAACATATTATAGTAATTTAACATGACAAACGATGTATTTTGCTAAAACTATCATCCCTCATATTGTTACTATGGTGTTGCCTGCTATAGCTCAGCTTCTTTTGTGTTCAACATGGTTATGCCAGCAAGTGACCTCCTGACATCTTCATTTTCTCACCATTTTTCTGTTACAACTATTGAATACTGCAATCTCATGATGTCATTTGGCTATCTTATTGTGCATGGAAGTATCATTCTCATTTTAAAACCACCTCTGTTCTTTTCTCAGTTATCCCAGAACTAAAAGCAGCACTAAAACACGCATGTAAATGTAGGTGCTGAAATTGCGTGGTAATACTGAGTTGTAAGGTGGTCACCCAGATAATTCAGAATATGCTTTTGCAAATCTAAAAAATATGAAAATGAAAATAAAATTAAAACCCTAAAGAATACATTCACAGACCTAATTTGAGAAAAACTGTTCAGGTCTGCTAGTTCCCAAACTTTCTTTTTTTCTTTTTTCTTTTTTTTTTTTTAGATGGGGTTTCACCATGTTGGTCAGGCTGGTCTTGAACTCCTGACCTCAGGTGATCTGCCGACCTCAGGTGATCCGCCGGCCTCAGCCTCCCAGAGTGCTGGGATTACAGGCGTGAGCCACCGCGCCTGGCCTCCCCCCACAGCCCCCAAATTTTCATTACTACCAAAGGCTCTATCTATTGTGCTTACTTCTAAGAACCCCATTTATTTATTTGTGTTTGTATTTATTTATTTATTTTCGAGACCAGGTCTCACTCTGCTGTCCAGACTGGAGTACAGTGGCGCGATCTTGGCTCACGGCAACCTCCGCCTCCCGGGCTCAAGCAGTTCTCACTCTCACTCATGTTAGCCGCCTGAGTAGCTGGGACTACAGGCGGCCATCACCAGCCCAGCCAATTTTTGTTTTGTTAGTAGAGATGGGGGTTTCACCAAGTTGGCCAGGCTGGTCTTGAACTCCTGGCCTCAAGTGATCCACCCGCCTCAGCCTTAGAACCCCATGTGTTAAAAAAGTTTGCCTCCTACACACTTCATTAATAGTTTTAATTTTATTAATCAGGCACATAGAATTACCATTTCGGAACTTATGATCACCATATGTAGTTATCACTCCAAGCTGCTTAAATTCCAGTCTAAAACAAAAAGGACATTCTAGTTATTCTGTGCTGCCCTCACAAGGATAAGTGAAAACTTTCCATTCAGTTTTGTAAGAAAGATCTCCCAGACCTCCACCTCTTCCCCTTGCTGCCTCTGAGGACTCTTGGGGGTCTAGGGAGGCCAGTCTGGGTTTTCTTGTTCAAGCAAAGTAGCCACCCCACCCAATTTGGAAGGATTAAAGCTTGTCCTAGTTTTGCTTCATTGTTGTACTTCTAGCATGCTAAAGAGCTAAAAAATGGGAGGAAGAAAATACAACAGAAGGCACCATTCCAGTACCAAACTGAAAAGAAACACAAAAACAAGAGAGCAGCATGTTTTTAACAGCTTGCGTGGAAAAAATATTGACTGGGGAGTTTGGACAGCACTGTTCATTTTCTCTCACCGCCCGCGTTATTTGTCTTACGGAGCAGGAGCCAGATACCATTCTGGAGAACAGGCCGAGGGAAGAGGTGGAGGGGTTCTGTGGAAGCTTGAGGCTGAGCTGAGAAATTAGGGCTGGAGATCCTGTGGCTCAGGGCCAGGATGAAGTCAGGGGAGGTGCTAAAGCCTTCTTCCTCCTGGCCTCGGGCACTCTCTTTGGTCCGCCTGAGTCTTAAGAGGGCACAGCGCGGATCACCCAGGTAGGTCCCTGGCCCCTTCGGACAAAGAGCCGGATGAATCCCTGTCCCTGTTTCTTTCGGCTGGGGAAAGGACGCAGGGGTTCCATTCGCTTTCTAAGTCCACCCATCTTCTTGAGTTCAGACCTACAACTCCTGCATTGGGGGTCGGAAGGGACCCTTAAACATCGGGACAGAAACTCAGCTCCCCAACCTCGGCTAAACTCCCGTGGCAGCTTTAGACCCTCCTGCCAGGGCGCGGGGCGGGGCCTGTGTGCGGGGCGGGGCCTGTGTGCGGGGCGGGGCCTGTGCGCGGGGCGGGGCCTGTGCGCGGGGCGGGAGGCGGTGACCAGCAGCTGTAGGAGGAGAAAGAACATGGCGGGCGCAGCGGGGACGGGGACCTGCGCGGGAGCAGCGGGCGGAGATGGAGACGATTCGCTATACCCTATCGCGGTTTTAATCGACGAGCTCCGCAATGAAGACGTGCAGGTACTGGACTGAGCCCGGGGAGCCGAGGTGGGCCCGCCGGTCGCGTGGTAGAAAAGGGGGAAGGCCTGTGCCGCGGTGAGGGTGGCCGGGGGACTGATTGAACCGGACTCAGCAGAAACTTGAAGGGGAGGCGGGGAAAGCCCCGCGAGGTGCCGTGGTGGCACGCCCCGACTTTCCCCGGGACCTCTCCAGTACCTCTGCTTCGGACCCCCTGAGGCGTCCGCCAGGAGCCTGGCCCTTCCAGGGCGGTTGTCTGGGAGCCCGCTTCCCGCCTGGGCACCCCTTCCGGGCTGCGAGGTGACCGCGCCTCGTAGGCGAGGCGGCTGGAGGAGCGCGGTGTGGGGCCGACACAGAGCTGGAGCGGCTGAGGGCGCAGGGTGCACAAGCCCTTTGAAGTGCCTCGGAATCCTTTCTTCTCGGCTTAGCACTGGCTCGGCTTGTTGGGTAGAAAGAGGAGGTGGGATTGGCGATCAACCCGGACGAGTCGTATCAGCTGTACGGAAACTTTTCTTTGAAACGACAGGCATTGTATTCAATCGTTTCACCTGCTTCACAACACTGCCAAAGTGCCCTCTTTTTAAAATTATCTTACTTCCTGGGTGTTGTATTATCTTTCATTCATTTCTCTTCTGGGGCCTTCTGAGTGTTTCTGCTAGGAAATCTTCCGCTGGCTAGTGAGACCGAGTTACACTCCTCTTGGAAGTCCCTTAACAGTGAAATGTAAATGACATGTTAGTTATCTTCATTCTTACCCGTGTCATTGTTTCACCTGTTAGCACCTTTTGTCTTTTGATCTAAATGTAACCGTTTCTTTACATTTATTTTCTTTCTACTTTCTTTTCTGAAGCTCCGACTCAACAGTATTAAGAAGTTATCAACAATTGCCCTGGCACTTGGAGTAGAAAGGACACGAAGTGAATTGCTGCCATTCCTTACAGGTATGTGAATCTTTGTTTAAAGAAAGGCAGGGACATTCCATTTTCCAGTAGTTTTCAACACTTTGACTTTTTTAGTTTGTTACACACATTAAAATGAGCCAGGTGGTTTCCGCGGCAAAAGAAACAGAACAGAGTATATTGTTACTTGTGGCTAGATATATTCAAACATCAACCATTTAGCTACTGGGAAAGTAATTGATATGAGAGTATGAATTTCTAATTTGTCGCGCAAAACAGATCTAGGAAGAGGGTTGATTGAGGAGAAGGAAGAAAATGCTGTTAGGATTTTGACTGGGCCACCTTACTGGTTGCATAGTGAATCTGGTCCTGGTTTTGTGTCATTGTCCAGCTGTGGGAGAGCTATGTTGATGAGTCCCTGTTGTTGTCACTTCCAGATACAATTTATGATGAAGATGAGGTACTATTAGCTCTTGCTGAGCAGCTGGGAAATTTCACCGGCCTAGTGGGAGGTCCTGACTTTGCCCACTGTCTGCTGGTGAGTATTTATAATGCTGCTGACCCTCCTTCCAGAACTTCTGCAGTATAAATGATACATTGTTTGGTGATAGGCACACTTCAGCATTTTTTATGCAGATCTTTTATTTTATTTATTTTATTTTTTTTTGAGACGGAGTTTCGCTCTTGTTACCCAGGCTGGAGTGCAATGGCGCGATCTCAGCTCACCGCAACCTCCGCCTCCTGGGTTCAAGCAATTCTCCTGCCTCAGCCTCCTGAGTAGCTGGGATTACAGGCATGCGCCACCATGCCCAGCTAATTTTTTGTATTTTTAGTAGAGACGGGGTTTCACCATGTTGACCAGGATGGTCTCGATCTCTTGACTTCGTGATCCACCCGCCTTGGCCTCCCAAAGTGCTGGGATTACAGGCTTGAGCCACTGCGCCCGGCCTATGCAGATCTTTTATGGGCAGATAGTCATTATGTTAGTCACTGAGAGAATAAATAATGTAAGCATTTTGGACTCAACCCATTCTTTTTTTTTTTTTTTTTTCCTATGAATAAGAGAACTTTGTCCTTCTGTGTCTGTATACTTAGTAGTTTAGATGTAGGGAGGAAAAGGATTTGATTGTTTTTATGGTTCCCCACCCCCCCAGGTTGAAAGTCTTAATTCTCATCTAGTGGCATTTTGTCTTTTAGTATAACTTTTGCTTCTGACTTTGTGAGTTTGAAGAATTTAGTTCAATTTAACTGACATTTATTGAGAGTACTACTTTATCAGACACATTGTAATTTGCAATGTTAATGTTAAAGAAGATCAATGTGAGTGGGCTTGTGGCACAAGCCTATAGTCCCAGCTACTCAGGAGGCTGATGGGAGGATCACTTGAGCCCAGGAGTTTGAATCCAGCTTGGGCAAGGAAGTGAGACCCCTATCTCTTAAAAAAAAAAAAAAAAAAAAATGGCCACCAAAGTGAATGGAATGAGGTCCCTGCTTTTATGTGCTAGCAAATAATTACTGTGCAGTCTTATATAGAAAGATAAAAGTATCTACAAAATACCCACATAATAAAGGGGAGAAAGGGATTAACTCAGGGTGATCAGGGAAGACCTCTTGGGAGATGATGTTTGAACTAGGTTTTAAAAGATGATCAAGAATTCAACAGTTGGACTAAGTAGGGATATATGCTTCAGGGCTTTCAATACTGGGTATGTAATACTGATTCTTGCGATTTCTATCTCTAGCTCTGACTTTTCCATGGAACTCCTGAGGTAGATTGATTAATAGATAAGTATGAATGTGTATATATGGAGAGAGCTATATTTTTGTATGTATATAGAAAAATATGTATGCTTTTTTTCTACTTGTATATCAGGTATTTCAAACTTAACATACCCAAAACAAAACTTAGTTTTATCCTTCAAATACACCTCTCATTTAGTTATTCCACCTCAGTAAACGGTATCGCCATCTGCCCAGTTGCACAAGCCAAAATTTAGAAGATAATCTTGAATCCTCTTTCCCTTGTTTCCCACATCTAATCCATTAATAATTCCTATAGAGTCTACATATATTTCAAATCAGCCCACTTTCTTCCATCCCTCCTATTACCAGCTTAGTCCAGACCATCATCATCTTTCCTCTAGACTGCTGTGGTAGCTTCCTAACAATACCTTCCACTCTTGCCTCTAACCCCACCCTTACAGTTGATATCACCCAGCAGATGACTCACTGTCTGCCATAGATGGCTCTTAAAAAATCCAAATCTGTACCTTAGCTTACAAGACTTTTTATGACTCACCTCTGTAGGCTTATCATATGCCCAGTGGTAGTGCCTGAGAAGAGGTCACAGTAGGCAGGGGACAGACCTCAAATGCCTTGATAATGTCTTTCATTCACATTGGTCGTCTTTCTGTTCTTTGAACTAACCAAGCTCATTATTTATTCCCTTAAGACTTTTGCCTTAGGTCTTCCCTCTTAATGAAATGCTCTTTTGAGCGTTCTGTGGCTGGCTCCTTGTCATTCAGGGATCAACTTCAATGCATCTCCTCAGGGAGATTTTCCCCAACCACTCAGCTTGAAATAGCCTCCCAGTCACCCCTTACCACATCATCCAACTCCTTTTTTCTACAGAGTACTCATCACCATCTGCTGTCTTCTTGATTGATTGTCTTACTCCATTAGAATGTAAATGCCACTAGAGTGAGGAACCTTGTCTGGTTTGTTTCTTCTGTGTCCCCAGTGCTAGAATACAACAATAATCATGTATTGAAAAAAATGAATTTCAGAGGCTTGGAAGCGTGAAACAGGCTGGGTTCAAAACTGCTGGAGTGTGGCCAGGCGTGGTGGCTCACACCTGTAATCCTAGCCTTGGGAGGCCAAAGCAGCAGGAGGATTGCTTGAGGCCAGCAGTTCAAGACAAGCTTGGGCAACATAGTGAGACCGCATCTCTTAAGAAAAAAAAAAGCTGGGCATGGCGTCATATGTCTAGTCCTAGCTACTCGGGAGGCTGAGGCAGAAAGATGAGAAGTTTGAGACCACACTGAGCCATGGTTGTGCCACTGGACTTCAGCATGTGCAACAGAGCAAGACCCTGTCTCTTGGGGAAAAAAAAAAAAAAAGGACTTCTGGAGTGTGAAGTGTTGAGGCTGGAGTTGGCAGGCAGAGTGGTCATCAAGGGCCAAGCAGAGTTCAAATCAAGACTACTCATGGCCGGGCGCGGTGGCTCAAGCCTGTAATCCCAGCACTTTGGGAGGCCGAGGCGGGTGGATCACAAGGTCAAGAGATCAAGACCATCCTGGTCAACATGGTGAAACCCCGTCTCTACTAAAAATACAAAAAATTAGCTGGGCATGGTGGCGCGTGCCTGTAATCCCAGCTACTCAGGAGGCTGAGGCAGGAGAATTGCCTGAACCCAGGAGACGGAGGTTGCGGTGAGCTGAGATCGCGCCATTGCACTCCAGCCTGGGTAACAAGAGCGAAACTCCGTCTCAAAAAAAAAAAAAGACTACTCATAAGCAATTCTGAGGACCATGGCCTCATCCTGTAGTAGTGATAGCAATTATCCAGTGGTACTGCATGAGAGGAGATTACAGTAGGCGGGGGACAGATCATGAAAGGCCTTGGCAAGTGAAAAACAGTATCTTTTCAATGGGTTTCTGTAGGAAATACCCTGTAGGAAAGCTGAATACTGTCTACCTGGGTCAAACAATTTTTAGAATGTTTTATTAGATAACTAATAACTCATTATGCTTCTGTTTCACTCTTGGTTAGTTCTCCAGGTGGGTTTTATGCTTTAAAATTTGTTGCTCATGGCATGTATAGACTCTACCTGGATTACATGCAAACTCATTAAGCAGAGGTTCAGAGAGCCAGCCTGTTTATGCTTTTTACTAGGCCGTGCCATATTCAGTTACTGATCCTAATCCAGACCAACTACCTGCTTTGGCCTCTTCTGTTTCTAAAGCTGTAAGCAAGGTGTCCTGCCATCTTTGTACTTTACTTTTTTTTTTTTTGGTTAATATTGTTTTAGCATTGTTTGGTATACAATAAAATTACTTATTTATTTATTTTTTTTTAAAAGAAAGAAAAGGAAAAAAAAAAAAGAATGAAGGAGAGGAAGAAAGAGGAAGAGAAAGAGGGAGAGAGAACGGGGGTGTTGCTTTTTTGCCCGGGCTAGAATGCAGTCTAAAAATGGGTATGCCTATAACTGTGCTTAATAATGGAGACACGAAAAAAATGAGGGAAGAAAATAACAAGCAGCCAACCAATATTTCATTTAAACCTGTAAGTAGGTGTGATGTGGTACTGATAAAGAGTGTATATTTTGTATATTTAAAGTGGAGAATTCTATAAATGTTAATTAAGTTTACTTGTTCCGGATCTTAGTTCAAGTCCTGGATGTCGTTGTTAATTTTCTGTCTCATCGATCTGTCTAATATTGTTGAAGTCTCCCACTATTATTGGGAAACTTAATAATAATATATGTATGTGAGTTTAATACTGCCATTTAATGTTAGCTGGCTGTTTTGCCCATTAGTTGATGTTTATTCTTCATTATGTTGATGCTTTTTACTTTTTGGTATTTTTTAGAAAGGCTGATACTTCTTGTTCCTTTCTATCTGTAGCAGTTCTTTCAGAAGCTCTTGTAAAGCAGGCCTGGTGGTGATGAAATCTCTGAGTGCTTGCTTGTTCACAAAAGATTTTATTTGTCCTTTGCTTATGAAGCTTAGTTTGGCTGGTTGTGTAATTCTGGGTTGAAAGTTCTTTTCTTTAATGATGTTGAATATTGGCCCCCACTCTCTTCTGGCTTGTAGGGTTTCTGCTGAGGGATCTGCTGTAAGTCTGATAGGCTGGCCGGGCGCGGTGGCTCAAGCCTGTAATCCCAGCACTTTGGGAGGCCGAAGGCGGGTGGATCACGAGGTCGAGAGATCGAGACCATCCTGGTCAACATGGTGAAACCCCGTCTCTACTAAAAATACAAAAAATTAGCTGGGCATGGTGGCACGTGCCTGTAATCTCAGCTACTCAGGAGGCTGAGGCAGGAGAATTGCCTGAGCCCAGGAGGCAGAGGTTGCAGTGAGCCGAGATCGCGCCATTGCACTCCAGCCTGGGTAACAAGAGCGAAACTCCATCTCAAAAAAAAAAAAAAAAAAAAGTCTGATAGGCTTCTCTTTGTGGATAATCTGACCTTTCTCTCTGGCTGCCCTTAGTATTTTCTCCTTCATTTCAACCCTGGTGAATCTGACGATTATGTGCCTTGAGGTTGGTCTTCTTGAGAAGACCAACCATCTTTGTGGTGGTTTCTATATTACCTGGAGTTGAATATTGTCCTGCCTTGCTAGGTTGGGAAAGTTTTCCTGAATAACATCCTCAAGCATATTTTCCAGCTTGGATTCATTCTCTTCGTCACATTCAGGTATACCTATCAAACATAGATTAGGTCTTTTCACATAGTCCCATATTTCTTGGAGACTTTGCTTGTTCCTTTTTATCTTTTTTTCTCTAATCTTATCTTCTTGTTTTATTTCATTAAGTTGGTCTTCGACCTCTGATATCCTTTCTTCTGCTTGATCAATTTGGCTGTTAAAACTTGTGCATACTTCATGAAGTTCTCCTGTTGTGTTTTTCAGCTCCATTAATTCACTTATATTCCTCCCTAAATTATGTATTCTTGTTAGCATTTCATCAAACCTTTTTTCAGAGTTCTTAGTTTCTTTGCATTGGGTTAGAACAAGTTCTTTTAACTCACAGAAGTTTCTTATTATCCACCTTTTGAAGCCTGCTTCTGTTAATGGAACACACTCGTTCTCCATCAAGCCTTGTTCCCTTGCTGATGAGGAACTGTGATCCCCTGTAGAGGGAGAGGCGTTCTGATTTTGGGTATTTTCAGCCTTTTTAGGCTGTTTTCTTCCTTTCGTTGTAGATTTATCCATCTGTGGTCTTTATAACTACCGTCTTTATAATTGGGTTTCTGAGTGGACATTTAATTTGTTGATTCCCAGTGCCAGAATCTGAGCAACCCACTGCGCTGGCTAAAACAGCGGTGTTAAGATTGATGGTGCTTTTCTGACTCTGCACCAAGAACCGCCACACTGAGGCAAAACCACCGCACCGAGGCAAAACTGCTTCGCTGGCCTCAAGAGACGTGCTGGCGACCTGTGGGGCTCCTCCACTGGGAATCTCCTGGTGCATGAGCAACAAAAATTTGTCTGAAAGTATGGCATCCTCTCGTTCTCTGCGCTTTCACTGGGAACTACAATCCCGAGCTGCTAGTGATCAGCTATCTTGGATCTCTCTTTACTTTTTTTTTTTTTTCCTGAGACAGAGTCTCTGTCATCTGTCACCCAGGCTCAAGTGCAGTGACACAATCTTGGCTCACTGCAACCTCCTGGGTTCAAGCAATTCTCATGCCTCAGCCTCCTGAGTAGCTGAGATTACAGGTGTGCACCACTGTGTCTGGCTAATTTTTGTATTTTTTGGTAAAGACAGGGTTTCACCATGTTGGCCAGGCTGGTCCCGAACTCCTGACCTCACATGATCTGCCCACCTCTGCCTCCTGAGGGCTGGAATTATAGGTGTGAGCCACTGCACCTGGCTATCTCTGTAGTTTTCGGTTGATTGTTCTGTCAGAAACTCCTGCCCTATGGCTAATGGAAAGTTGCTGAATGTGTTCTGAAAAAAGCAATTTTGTACTCAGCATTTTATAGGTTGGATAAAAGGATGGCATGGAGATGGTGGATAAGGGTTGCTTGCACCTCTGGGAATGGTGGAATAATACTGAAAAGGCTGTGGACTCAGTGACCTGACAAGCTGTTATCCTGTAAATGTGGTGCCCAGTGTTGATCATGTTTTTGTACTTACTCTTGAGGAAATACACATGATCCTGTCTGAATTTGGCTATATATCTTTTAAACCTAATGATTCAGCTCACAGTAATATTAATATTGTGTCAAGTCTCTTACACTGTGTCATTTGTAGACACCATCTGGGAATTGCCATCTGGGACATGAGATTTTGGCTTTTCTATAGAAGTCGTGTCTTCGGGTTGTCTGCACCATATGTTACCACTGTGTGAGCTGAAAGTAACCATTTGGTGTGATGCAGCTAACATTCTGGTTACGTGTACCACCTCCCTTCACTCACTGTAAAAGGTGATAATCTGTTTCTAGCCTGATTCAATAAGTTTTCTTCTCTGGTTTTCTTTTTTTAATCCATTCAGCCTCCTTTGGAAAATCTGGCGACTGTGGAAGAGACTGTTGTTCGTGACAGAGCTGTGGAGTCCCTGAGACAGATCTCCCAGGAGCATACTCCTGTTGCTCTGGAAGCTTATTTTGTACCTCTGGTGAAACGCCTAGCAAGTGGGGATTGGTTCACCTCTCGCACGTCTGCATGTGGTTTGTTCAGCGTTTGCTATCCCAGGGCATCAAATGCTGTTAAAGCAGACATTAGACAGTAAGCTGTGGTATTTTTTTGAGTTATTTGGGATTATTGGGGACTTGTAGCTGACAATTTACACAGTACCTTGTTATCAGTGAGTGGCCGATACTGGGGTAGTAGGATTTATGATACCTTTTTTTTTTTTTTAAGAGATAAGGTCTTGCTCTGTTGCCCAGGCTGGAGCATGATGGCACAATCATAGCTCACTGCAACCTTAAATTCTTGTGTTTAAGTGATCCTCCAGCCTCAGCCTCCCAGGTAGCTAGGACTATAGACATACACCACTGCTCCTGGCTAGTTTTTAAAAAATTTTTCTGGCTGAGTGCAGTGGCTTGTTCTTGGAATCCCAGCACTTTGAGAGGCTGAGGTAGGAAGATTGCTTGAGTTCAAGAGGTCAAGACCAGCTTGAGCAACATACTGAGACCTCATCTCTACTAAAAAAAAAAAAATTAGCTGGCATTGTGGTATGCACCTAGGAATATATTCAAATCCTGACTTGAATATATTCAGGATTTGAATATATTCCTAGCTACTCAGCAGGCTGAGGTGGGAGGATCACTTGAGTTCCCCCAACAAAAAAAGTATTTTTGGGGTAGAGATAGAGTTTTGCTCTGTTGCCCAGTCTTCTTTCAATTCCTGGCTTCAAGCTGTCCTACCTGGGCCTCCCAAAGTGCTGAGATTACAGGTGCAAGGCACCATGCCTGGCCTATGATGTCATTTTTTTTATCATCCAGTTGAATATGTTTTATTTTCATTACTTCTATGAGTAGAAGCCTAATCACTGATTATTGTAAGATAAAACCAGCTAAAAGTCTGTGTGTTGGGGCAGGCTTAGTCAGTGTTATTTGATGGGAAATATGTTCATTGTTTTATGTTGCAGGCACTTCCGTTCCTTGTGCTCAGATGACACACCAATGGTACGACGTGCTGCTGCTTCCAAATTGGGTGAATTTGCAAAAGTTTTGGAATTAGACAGTGTGAAAAGTGAAATTGTTCCATTGTTCACTAATCTAGCTTCAGATGAACAGGTAAACTAGCTCTTAGTATTTAAAGGGCACAGATATGCTCCTTTCCTCTAAATTTTTAGAATTTCTTTGGGGAGTTTCGGTTTTCTTGTTAGGATTCTTTTTGCAGAATTAGTGCTGATTCTGGTCTGTTAAAGTGTAACATGCTCATCTCAACGTTTTTATGTTTCTTTCTTAACCAGACCATGGTTTCTCTCTTACATTAGCAGCTGTTAAAAGAAGGGGGAGTCAGAGAGGAAATGGGAGCCATAATTAGAAAGGAAGACCAAAGCTCCATAGAGGCATAACGTACCTTTGGGAATTGCTGGCTGTATTGTAATATGAGGCAGTAATGTTTCCTGGAATTTTTGACTTTTCAGATAAGTAAGCTTGGAATGTGTTAGGAAAGCTATCTGACCCTCTGTTTCCTGTATAGTAGTGCATGGAATTACTTCACATAATAGTATTTAATTCTGAAGATCTAGATCTCTTCGATGTAGAAATAATAAAACTAGCAAATATCTATTAAATACTTAATTTTTTTCTGCCTCTAAGTAGTTATGTGTATTAAGTAATTCAGTCCTTATAACAGCCCATGAGATAGCCCATTTTACACATTAGAAAACAAAGGCACATGGCTGTGTGCGGTGGCTCACGCCTGTAATCCCAGCACTTTGGGAGGCCGAGGCGGGTGGATCACGAGGTCAAGAGATCGAGACCATCCTGGTCAACATGGTGAAACCCTGTCTGTACTAAAAATACAAAAAATAGCTGGGCATGGTGGCGCACGCCTGTAGTCCCAGCTACTTGGGAGGCTGAAGCAGGAGAATTGCTTGAACCCAGGAGGCGGAGGTTGCAGTGAGCCAAGATCACGCCATTGCACTCCAGCCTGGGTAACAAGCGAAACTCCTTCTCAAACAAACAAACAAAAAAAGAAAACAAAGGCACACAAAGTTTAAATAACCTGCTCAAGTTTGCACAGTTAGCCGTAGTGGAGTCAGGATTTGAATCTAGGTGGTTTGGCTCCAGAATTTGTGTCATTTCACAGCTAGCTCCCAGAGTTCCTGAACTGTAGAAGAGTCTTTAGTTTGCGTGTTGTCTGCCCTAAGATCATTTCATATGTACAGGACCACAGGCACCAGGACACATTAATGAGTCTCATTTTCAGATCCTAAATCTAAAGATCTAAATCCTATTTCAAAAGAATTTTAAAAATTTATTAGAATAACATATAGTAAACTGCACAAAATAAATGTACAACTTACTGAACTATTACAAGGTAATACCAACTTAATATCATAGGTGATAGTTACCATTACTATCAGCTATGATAGGAGGCATCACTTTGACAGCCACTACCCCAGAATCCTTCCATGGATTTCCTTTCAAACACAGTCTTCTCCTCCTCCCCTTGCCACTCCATACTTCCTTAAGAGTAACATTATCCTGACTTTTATGGTAAGCACCTCCTTAGTTTTCTTTGCACCTTTTTTTTCAGACGGAGTCTTGCTCTGTTGCCAGGCTGAAGTGCAGTGCTGCGATCTTGGTTCACTGCAACCTCCCCCTCCTGGGTTCAAGTGATTCTCCTGCCTCAGCCTCCCAAGTAGCTGGGACTATAGGCACGTGCTACCATGCCAAGCTAATTTTTGTATTTTGAGATGGGGTTTCACCATGTTGGCCAGGATGGTCTCGATATCTTGACCTCATGATCCACCTGCCTTGGCCTCCGAAAGTGCTGGGATTACAGGTGTGAGCCACCATGCCCAGCTGCCTTTGCACTTCTGTTACCCAAACATTACAATTTAAAACAATGCTGTTCAACAGAAATATAATGTAAGATATCTGTTAATTTTAAGTTTTCTACTGGCCATATTTTTATTTTTTATTTTTCCATGAATTCCTGAATTGAGTTCAATGGCCATATTTTTAAAAGTAAAAAGAAATAGATGGGGCGTGGTGGCTCACGCCTGTAATCCTAGCACTTTGGGAGGCCGAGGTGGGTGGATCACTTGAGGTCAGGAGTAGAAAACCAGCCTGGCCATCATGGTGAAACCCCATCTTTTAAAAAAAAAAAAATTAATATATATATACACACACACACACACACACATATATATATACTTTTAAAAATATATATGTGTATATATACACACACATACATATATATATATATATATATATATATGTAAAAAGAACTAGGTGAAATTAACAATGTTTGTATTCAACCAAAAATTTCCAAAATTATTTGTGAATAAATAATGTATACCACCCACATTTCAAGTTTCAGCATGAGTTGATGATGGTAATAGGGTGGCAGTAGTAAAGATGGAAAGGATCTGGATGTCAGTTGGGAAGTGGGATCAATAGGACTTGCTACTATTGGATTGGATGATGGGTAGAGGAATCAAGATCTAGATATTTTGCGTGAGCAACTGGGTGAATGGTGGTATCATCATTAAGATGGAGAAAATTCTGAGAGGAGAAACAGGTATAGGAGAGAAAAACAGAAGTTCTGGATGAGAAGTAATTTTTTTTTTTTTTGAGACAGACTTTCACTCTTACCGCCCAGGCTGGAGTGCAATGGCAAGATCTTGGCTCACTGCAACCTCCGCCTCCTGGGTTCAAGCAGTTATCCTGTCTCAGCCTGCTGAGTAGCTGGAGTTACTGGTGCCTGCCACCACGCCTGGCTAATTTTTTTTTTTTGTTTTTAGTAGAGACGGGGTTTCACTATGTTGGCCAGGCTGGTCTTGGACTCCCGACCTTGTGATCTGCCCACCTCGGTCTCCCAAAGTGCTGGGATTACAGCCGTGAGCCACCATGCTCAGCCAGAGAAGTAATTAAAAACTATTTTTTTTGAGATGGCATTTTGCTTTTGTTTTCTAGGCTGGAGTGCAATTACGTGATTTTGGCTCACCACAGCCTCTGCCTCCCGGGTTCAAACGATTCTCCTGCCTCAGCCTCCCAAGTAGCTTGGATTATAGGCATGTGCCATCACATCTGGCTAATTTTGTATTTTTAGGAGAGACAGTGTTTCTTCATGTTGGTCAGGCTGGTCTTGAACTCCCGACCTCAGATGATCCACCTGCCTTGGGCTCCCAAAGTGCTGGGATTATAGGCGTGAGCCATCACACCTGGCCAGAAGTAATTTTTTAACAAATGTGTATTAGCTTATATTTCAGTAGTTGATTAGCAGTCCCATGATTTAGCCATCATTTTCAAAATCCAAAAATATCTGTGTAATCCCTACCAAGAACATAGTCCTGGCTTTTTTAGCCGGTATGCTTGCATACAGAGGAGTGTGTTTGTCTTTGGCATATAGTCAGTTATTGCTGATATACAGTTTTTAAGATATGTAATATTTTGGAAGTTGGAGTTACCTTTATGTCTCTCAAGTATATGTATGCATATATACATAACAGTTATTGTACACACTTAAAATTTTTGGCCTGTTTCTCCTGGGTGCTAATGTTTACATGTTTTAAGATTCTACCTATATAGTCTAATATATAAATCTAGAGTCTCAGTTTCTATTTTCTCATTGATTGGTCTTTTTTATTTTTTTGAGATGGAGTCTTGCAGTGGTGCAATCTCAGCTAACTGGAGCTTCCACCTCTCTGGTTCAAGCGATTCTGCTGCCTCAGCCTCCTGAGTAGCTGGGATTACCACCATGCCCAACTAATGTTTGTATTTCTTTCTTTCTTTCTTTTTTTTTTTTTTTTTGTAGATGGGGTTTCACCATGTTGATCAGGCTGGTCTTGAACTCCCGACCTCAGGTGATCCGCCCGCCTTGGACTCCAAAGTGCTTGGATTATAGGAGTAAGCTACCACGCCCGGCCTTTTTTCTTTTTCTTTTTCTTTTTTTTAATGTTTGTATTTTTAGTAGAGATAGGGTTTCACAATGTTGGCCCGACTGGCGTCGAACTCTTAACCTCAGGTGATTTGCCCACCACCGCCTCCCAAAGTGCTGGGATTACAGGGTGGACTACCGCAGTAGGCCCCTCACTGATTTGTCTTAATTGTGTATTTTCCACTTGCTCAAAGGAAATAGGTGTCACGTTGACATTGGCTGTTTACATTTGGAAAGCTAAGTTCACTAATCTCATATTTTTCTAATTTCTGTGTTTTTCTAGCCACAGCTTCCTCAAAGTTATTCTGTCCTTGATCTTTAACATTTATTTATTTATTTATTTATTTTGAGATGGAGTTTCGCTCTTGTTACCCAGGCTGGAGTGCAATGGTGCTATCTTGGCTCATCGCAACCTCTGCCTCCTGGGTTCAGGTAATTCTCCTGCCTCAGCCTCTTGAATAGCTGGGATTACAGAAATGCGCCACCATGCCCAGCTAATTTTTTGTATTTTTAGTAGAGACAAGGTTTCACCATGTTGACCAGGATGGTCTCAATCTCTTGACCTCATGATCCACGAGCCTTGGCCTCCCAAGATCTTTAACATTTAAATCCAACTGATTTTTGTTTCTGATTTCTAACTTTCAATTCTGTGTATTTCTTCCCAAGTCATCATTTTATGCTGCCTGCACTCCTGTTACTGCCACCCTGGTCTGAGTGTTTTCAAAACTGAGCTTCCTAAGTGATTTCCTTTACCCTTATTCTCTACCTTTGTACTAATCTGTTATAAATAACTTGTAGAAGTATTCTTTTCATTTTTATCCCTCAACTTCCTATTATAGTAGGGCTTTGAAGGCATCATTAAAATTTTTTTTCCAGGGCCGGGCGCGGTGGCTCAAGCCTGTAATCCCAGCACTTTGGGAGGCCGAGGTGGGTGGATCACGAGGTCAAGAGATCGAGACCATCCTGGTCAACGCGGTGAAACCCCATCTCTACTGAAAATACAAAAAATGAGCTGGGCATGGTGGCGCGTGCCTGTAATCCCAGCTGCTCAGGGGGCTGAGGCAGGAGAATTGCCTGAACCCAGGAGGCAGAGGTTGCGGTGAGCCGAGATCGCGCCATTGCACTCCAACCTGGGTAGCAAGAGCGAAACTCTGTCTCAAAAAAATAAAATAAAATAAATAAAAAAAATTTTTTTTCCACTTAATTTTTAAATTTTTATTTTCCTTTTCCTCCTAAAACTCTGCATTCTAGCCAAGGTAATTACTTCGTTGTTTACTCATTGTACAAAGTCATTTCTATCTTAATGATTTTGACATGCCATTCCAGGCAAAGGGAGCAGCTCTTTCAAGATGTAAAGACATGGCCAGGCATGGTGGCTCACGATTGTAATCCCAGAACTTTGGGAGGCGGAGGCGGGTGGATCATTTGAGGTCAGGAGTTCAAGACCAGCCTAGTTAACATGGTGAAACCCCATCTCTACTAAAAATACAAAAATTAGCCTGGCGTGGTGACGCATACTTGTAATCCCAGCTACTCGGGAGGCTGAGGCAAGAAAATCGCTTGAGCCCAAGACAGGAGAATCGCTTGAGCCTGGGAGGTGAAGGTTGCAATGAGCTGAGATTGCACTGCTGCACTCCAATAAGGGTGACAGAGTGAGACCCTGTCTCAAAAAAAAAAAAAAAAAAAAAAAGAATATAAAGACGTGAAACTATATAAGATGTGGTGGTTGTCGTGGTGGTTTTTTTTAAACAGCTGCTTCACCCCACAACAGTTCCCATAGATCTCAGTAAAGGTCTGAATTATAGAAATTTTGTTCCTTTAGGATTCAGTGCGCCTCCTAGCTGTGGAAGCTTGTGTCAGTATTGCCCAGCTATTGTCCCAGGATGACCTTGAGACCTTGGTGATGCCTGCAGTTCGACAAGCAGCAGAAGATAAATCTTGGCGAGTTCGCTATATGGTAGCTGACAAATTTTCAGAGGTAAAATGATCATTTTTAAGTACTAAGGAAATAAACCTGGAAGCCTATAGATATGCTGTTTTACCCAAAGTTTCTGAATTTTTTTTCAGTGGGAAGTGCTGTGGCAAAAATAGGTACCTAAAGATTGCACAATTTTGTTTTGTTCTTGTTAATTATTTTGTTGGTGTACATTAAAACCCATTTAAATTCTTTTATAGCTCCAGAAAGCTGTGGGTCCTAAAATCACCCTAAATGACCTCGTCCCCGCCTTTCAGAACCTACTTAAAGACTGTGAAGCTGAAGTCCGGGCGGCTGCTGCCCACAAAGTAAAAGGTTAAGGAGTTCAATTTATGTTGGAACATGTGTCATTCATTTTTTTTGTTAGTGAATTTTGCATGTTTTTGTTCTAGAATATGTTTTAAAAATGCATAGGGATGTTTTCAGTGTGTGGAAATGCCACATTGTCACATAAAGATACTCCCCTTATATTTAAAACCAATAAATCATTTCATATTGTTTTTATTTAAAAAAAATGCCTGGGCCGGGCGCCGTGGCTCAAGCCTGTAATCCCAGCACTTTGGGAGGCCGAGGCAGGTGGATCACGAGGTCAAGAGATCGAAACCATCCTGGTCACCATGGTGAAACCCCGTCTCTACTAAAAACACAAAAAATTAGCTGGGCATGGTGGCGCATGCCTGTAATCCCAGCTACTCAGGAGGCTGAGGCAGGAGAATTGCCTGAACCCAGGAGGCAGAGGTTGCGGTGAGCCAAGATTGCGCCATTGCACTCCAGCCTGGGTAACAAGAGCGAAACTCCGTCTCAAAAAAAAAAAAAAAAAAAAAAGCCTTTCCGGTTGGATTGATGTGGTACACAGTGGCATAGAGATTCACGAAAAAGTGTATTTAGAACAAGAGCTATTTTCCTTACTTGCTTTAACATGAATTAAATTGAAATTGTTGATAAGCCTGGTTAAATGTCCTTATTTGGCTCTTTGTAAATGGCCCTGCGAAAACATTTTTTTTTCTATTTATCTTTTAGAACTTTGTGAGAACTTGCCCATTGACGATAGAGAGACCATAATTATGAATCAAATTCTGCCCTATATAAAGGTAAACCTGACTTCAGTTTATTTTCTTTCACTCTGATTTATAGGAAGGTAAACCTTAATCTCATTTTGCTTACCTTAAAGCTCTTTGAATTTAAAGGTGTTGACAAAGAATGAATGGGGAAGATATGTTAACGTGTGACATTGTTGTTTATCACTTATTAACCTATTATAATTATAAAATACTCTTTGGTACTTAGGTTTATGTTACCTAACAGGTAGTCTGAGGAAACATTATCAATTAATCAATATTGAAATAGTGCTGTCTTTAAATTCCTTGGGATTGGGCATGGTGTCACATGCCTGTAATCCAAGCACTTTGGGAGGCTGAGGTGGGAGGGTTTCTTGAGCCCAGGAGTTCTAGACCAGCTTGGGCAACATAGTGAGACCCCATCTCTACAAAAAAATATAAAAATTAGTTGGGCCTAGTGGCATGCATCTGTAGTACCAGCTACTTGGAGTCTGAGGTGAGAGGATTACTTGAGCCCAGGAGGTTGAGATGATAGTGAGCTACGATCATGCCACTGCACTTCAGCCTGGGTGACAGTGAGACCCTGTCCCAAAAAGAAAAAAAAATCGGGCTGGCGTGGTGGCTCACAACTGTAATCCCAGCACTTTGGGAGGCCAAGGCGAGAGGATTACATGAACCTAGGAGTTCAAGACCAGCCCTGGCAATATAGCAAGAACCGGTCTATACAAAAAAAAAAAAAAAAAAATAGCCATGCCTGGTGGTGCATGCCTGTAGACCCAGCTACTCTGGAGGCTGCAGTGCTTGAGCTAGGGAGGTTGAGGCCACAGTGAGCCAAGGTCACACCACTGCACTCCAGTCTGGGTAACAGAGCAAGACTCTGTCTCCCAGAATAAGTAAATAAATAATATGTCCTTAGGAAATGGTATGGAAGTTTCTGTTGTCTTGTAATAAAGGCTTTTAATTTTGATTTTATTTTAGGAATTAGTATCTGATACCAGTCAACATGTCAAATTTAATTTTGATTTTATTTTAGGAATTAGTATCTGATACCAGTCAACATGTCAAATCGGCTCTAGCTTCTGTAATTATGGGATTGTCTACTATTGTGGGCAAAGAGAATACCATTGAACATCTTCTACCTCTTTTTTTAGCTCAGTTAAAGGATGAGGTGAGTCTTGCTTTATGTTCTGTTGCCCTTGATAGTAATTTTATTAGATTAGATTTTGGTTTGGGGTTTCACTAAAATAGAACCCCCAAAAAGGAAATGGATGAAAAAAGTGTAACTTCCTTTAAACCAATGACAACACCTGTGATTTTGGGTATGGGGTTATAGGTTCCTCAAAAATGGTCACAAGGACCCATTAAAGTAAATCTAGAAATGTCTATTTGTCATCTTTACCTGATTTTTGCTTTATACTCCCTGGTTCCTTTATAGCTAATGTATCTTTGTTTAAAAAGTTTTTTAAATTTAAGTTTAAATATAGTATCAAAAATTATAATGATAACTAATATTCACTGAGTAATTACTATGTGCCAGGCATGATCCTCAGTGCTTTGCACGTATTTTTACATGTAATGCTCAAAACAGTCCTATGAGGTAGGGCTTATTATTATCCCATTTTATAGATGAGGAAGCTGAGATACAAAGGGTTAAAGTAACTTGAGCAAGGTCTTTCAACAGTGACAGATCTGAAATTTGAGTGCATCTGATTTAATTCCAGAGTTTATGCTCTTTACCATCTTAGAGACTTTTCTCATAGTCTTTAGTCTTGCAGACTTTTAATTGAAATTTCTGATTAAGATCACTTATGTTCCTTGAATTATTTATGTACTCAGTATTATTTCTTCAAGACTATCCATTTTTTTCACTTGAGTCAATATTTTCTAATTTTAAAACTTACTTAGCAGTTTGTATCTTATCCTGACAGGAGACTGTTGGGCAGACGACTTAATTTTTATATGTGGTCATTTGTGGCTTGTGTACTTGCAGTGTCCTGAAGTTCGTTTGAGTATCATCTCCAATTTGGATTGTGTAAATGAAGTGATTGGAATTCATCAGCTCTCTCAGTCTCTCCTTCCTGCCATAGTGGAGCTGGCTGAAGATGCCAAATGGAGGGTCCGGCTGGCTATCATTGAGTATATGCCACTGCTGGCAGGCCAGCTGGTGAGTATGTGTTGCTCCATGAATTGCAGGGTAGTGTTAAATAGTGGCAGTTTACCATGGCAAGTCGGAGGCCTAGTAGCCTGCATGATTATGTTTATTTAGATGCATGAAAGTATGGCCTTGTTCTTGTTGCTTATGGGATGGTTTTTATTTTTATTAGTGCATAAATTCCTTTTTTTTAAAAGATGGAGTTTCACTCTTGTTGCCCGGGCTGGTGTGCAATGGTGCAAACCTGGCTCACTGCAGCCTCCACCTCCTGGGTTTAACTGATGATCCTGCCTCAGCCTGGCAAGTAGCTGGGATTATAGGAATGCGCCTCCGTACCTGGCTAGTTTTGTATTTTTAGTAGAGATGAGGTTTTATCATGTTTGTCAGGCTGATCTCGAATTCCTGACCTCAGGTGATGCACCCACCTTGGTCCCCAAAGTACTGGACTGTGGCTTGCCTTTTAGTGCATACATTTCTAACAAAAAAGTATAGGTTGAGTATCACTTATATAAATATGCTTGGGACCAGAATGTTTGGAACCAGAAGTAGATTTTGGAATATTTGCTTTATACTCTTTGAGTATCCCAAATTCAAAAATCCAAAGTCCAGAATGCTCCAGTGAACATTTCCTTTGAGCATCATATTGACATTCAAAAAGTTTTGGATTTCAGAGCATTTCACATTTTGGATTTTTGGATTTGGGATCCTCAGCCTGTATTACAGAAACATATTTTACCTTACCACCACCAAAAAACAAAGCCATAGAATAGTAAGATCAGTTTCTTGGTATATATATAATGTAAATTTTGTAATATTTAATGCCTTTGTGACTTAAGAAATATTTAACTGAGAAAAAAAGGGATTATGGTTTTAGGGTGAGTCTGCTGTGATTTTTGCTCAAGGAAACTTTGTTGTTTGCCTTGTATTCTAAGCAAAATGTCCCTTGGTGCCACTTTGCCTATATTCTGATTAAAGGGAGTTGAGGAGTCATCATATAGAAAAGAAGTATTGAAAGGCCGAGCGTGGTGGCTCACACTTGTAAACCCAGCACTTTGGGAGGCAAAGGCAGGCGAATCACTTGAGGTCAGCAATTCCAGACCAGCCTGGCCAACATGGTGAAACCCCATCTCTACTAAAAGTGAAAAAATTAACTGGGTGTGGAGGCACATACCTGTAATCCACGTACCTGTAATCCCAGCTACTCAGGAGGCTGAGGCAGTAGAATCGCTTGAACTCGAGGCAGATATTGCAGTGAAGCCAAGATTACACCATTGCACTCCAGCCTGGGCAACAGAGCGAAGACTTCGTGTCAAAGAAAAAAACAAAAAACAAAAGGAGTACTGAAGCTTGTAATGTTAGTATTTTAGTCAGAGTCCACATTCTCACATTATCTGTTACTATTTGGATTTCATGATTAGTTCTACCCTAACTAATACCGTGTTAGTTAAAATTTCAAAGCTGGGTTTTATAGCCACTTCTTCCCTTTTTTTCGAGTAGGTGGCCTAGACAGTTCTAAGTTTGATGCACCTTTATCCCGTTGGTAGCACACTTATTACAGAGTATTGTAACTGTCTGCTACAGTCTATTTGGGGAGATGGGTGATCTCTTTTAAGGACAGGGACTGTATTTTATTTCCCATTCCTACTGTCCAGGCTGGTCTCAAACTCGTGGCCTCAAATGATCCTCCTGCCTCAGCCTCCTGAGTAGCTGGGATTATAAGCATCAGCCATTGTGCATGGCCAACATTTGTTGATTGTTGAGTATTTTTTGAGAAAGCTGTGTCAGTTTATACTACAGTTTGTTTTCTCTTCCTCACTCCCATTCCTTTCAGGTCACAGCATATGGAATTTATTTTTTCTTCTCTTGAACTCCTGAATTTGTATTGTTAATTTTAGTACATTTAGTTTATGAACATGCATTTTATGGAGTCTGTGTCATTATATGTTTTATAAAATTTAAAGTGTCTCATTCTTTGAAAGGATGCCAGGGATATTAGTGCATAGCTAATGGGATCAAGTGAAGTTATTTTGTCATCCTTTTCCTCTGTCACTCCCAAGTGCTATGGGTCATCATCTCTTCACAGGTGATTGTCATGGATCTACTCTCCAGAGTGGAGAGGAGCAGTGGTTAACTGATTTGCTAAAGACCAAGACTGTCTGGAAGGGAGGGTGCATTTTACTACCATTTCTTTTAACCTCTGCTCCTTCTAGACCTGGAAAGTTTCCCAGGGTTGCTAGCTCTATAGAGAGCAGTGTGAAAGCAAGGCAGATGGTGTGTTTGGCTGACTTATAACCTGTCTGTCAGGGGTGACATGCCTCAGTCATGAACATTTTGTTTTACAGTTTCAACTTCTTGTTAGTGTATATATTCTTAATTTTCTTTATCTCTAAATATTTTTATATATCAAATAGTGAATTTATAAAATTCTCTCAAGACTTTAGGTATGACCTGGCTTGTGGACCATGGTAAGTAAGTGCAAAGTTAAACTACAAAAACTGGAAAATAGGCCCAGCATAGTGGCTCACGCTTGTAATACCAGCACTTCAGGATGCTGAGGCAGGTGGATCACCTGAGGTCAGGAGTTTGAGACTAGCCTGGCCAAAATGGTTTAACCCCATCTCTGCTATACAAAATATTAGCCAGGTGTGGTGGTGGGTGCCTGTTACTTGGGAGGCTACTTAGGAGGCTGAGGCAGGAGAATTGCTTGAACCCAGGAAGCAGAGGTTGCAGTGAGCCAAGATCATGCAACTGCACTCCAGCCTGGGTGACAGAGAGACATTGCGTCACAAAAACACCGCTATGACCACCAACAAAAAACTGGAAAATAAAGGTTAATTAAAACTGAAGGAAAATTCACAACCTGAAATGAAAAAAAAATCTTGGCTGATGTAATCTAAGTGTATGCCAAGATTTGTTTATAATCTTTTAATACAAAGCTATTTTGGGCCAGGCGCAGTGGCTCACGCCTGCAATCCCAGCACTTTGGGAGGCTGAGGTGGGCCAATCACCGGGGTCAGGAGTTAGAGACCAACCTAACCAACATGGTGAAACCCTGTCTCTACTAAAAATACAAAAATTACCTGGGCATGTGCTTCATGCCTGTAATCCCAGCTACTTGAGAGGCTGAGGCAGGAGAATTGCTTGAATCTGGGAGGCAGAGGTTGCAGTGAGCTGAGAATGTGCCATTGTACTCCAGCCTGGGCAATATAATGAAATTCGCTCTCAAAAAAAAAAAAAGCTATTTTGTTTTATTCAATCACTATTTTCAAAGTACTGAAACATTATATTACCTCTCTTTATTTAAAATATAGAATCACCGGTCAGGAACTTCTTAGAGTTCAAAGAAGCAAGACTATAAACATATAGACCCCAGAAGGGAGGCACTAGGAAAGTTTCTATCACAGCATTCTCCCATGTGGTATAGAAGACCCAGGGTAAGAGGGCTGTAAATCTGCTCCAGGCGCCCATCCCCAGCCTGCACTGAAGTGGCCACCTTTTGACAGTCAAGAGGAACAGGGCTGGGAGAGCAAGCCATGCCTGAGCCACATTTCCTATAGTCCTGGGTTTGCTTTATTCTCCCTCCAGGGCTTTCTCCTGTTGTTTCAAAAATACTCTAATTGGGGATATCTCTGTCTTGAGGTTAGTTGCTTTATCCTTAAGGATTTGTTATGATAGTAACCAAAAAGGGAAGACAATTGAGAATCAGTAATATTACTGACAGGTCTTTTCCTGGTAATTCATTTTTATGGGTAATCCAGATTTTGCTTGGCAGACCATCCACAGTGCGTTCATCCTATTCTTTTACAGTGTTGTAGCTGGCTTCTGGCCACCCTGTTTTCTTTTACCTAGCAGGGCCTATGCCAGCTCACTTATGCTTTTTTTTGTTTGTTTATGATTTCTATCCAATAAAATAGATTTATGGTTTGTTTATGAATCCTTTGGTGTTTCCTTTCTGTCTCTTTAATGAATTCAGTTTATTTGGAAACAATTTTTTTAGCCTTTAGGTAAACTTGGTGTATAAATAGACCATCTTTATTTCTGAATTTGACAATGTATATTAATGGAATTTTCTGTATCTGTAGGGTGTGGAATTCTTCGATGAAAAGCTGAATTCTTTATGTATGGCTTGGCTTGTGGACCATGGTGAGTAGATAAAAACAAATAATTGAAATCCCGTATATCCATCATGTTCATTTCCTTTTAGAAAGGAATCTCAGTCTGACCAGATATTTTGCCTTAATATTATAGGAATGAAGAAAGGCTTTAAAGTTTAGTCTTCTGAATATAAATTTGATATCTCTACCAATTTTTTTGTATCTTAGATTTTATTTTCTCCATTAAATAATTTATTTGCATTATTTCTTAATCTATTACATTATCTTCAGACCATTTCTTTTATATGTCTACGTACTCCTCCCATATCTGAGGATCCTCTTTTTGACCATCCTGTAATTGGTGTCTTCAGCAGCTGTACAGTAGATTGGACAGAGACTGGAATCAGATAAAAGGCCTAGGTGGGAGAAATGGCCACTTGGCTTTTTTGAGTTGACATAGAAGAGGAGATGCACAATGAGACAGCAGAGGAGTCTTAGGTGTGGGAAACATTAGCTTTGCCATAGGACTAGAGAGGGCCTGGATTTCTGGTTTTGGTGAAAGGAAGGCTTACTGGTTGTGCCCTCATTGCTGCTGCTACAATGCTAGGAGAGGGTGAGCTCGGGCAGGTCAGGTAGGACAGCAGGAATGGGCAGGTGACTTCCTGGTGAGGCTTCAGGTAGAGGTATATGCATGTATTCCCTTGTGTGCCAGGCAGCAGTGGGTGAGAGATGTACTCTCTGTGCCAGGTCCCAGGTCTAGATTTGACAGCTTCAGTGTTGCCTTAGACCTGTTTTGATGAGCGTAAGTGACCCCAGGGGCTCATGCGACATTGCTCTTGAGCTTTGGTTCCTTGTTTTGGGGCATATAAGAGGTATCCTGATTGAGTTTCACAGTATCTTTTATGTACTTTATATATGTATTGAGTGTATCTCTTTGTTCATCTGTGGATGCTTAATGCTTGGAAATTTGAGAGGAATGAGGATATTTGTGTCTGCTTATACATGTAGGTGGTTTTGTTAAAGGCATATTTGCATCATATGGAGGATCACATGGTTAAGAGTGTGAAGAGGAAGGATGTGAAAAAATAGGTGAAAATTGGCCGGGCGCGGTGGCTCAAGCCTGTAATCCCAGCACTTTGGGAGGCCGAGGCGGGTGGATCAGGAGGTCAAGAGATCAAGACCATCCTGGTCAACATGGTGAAACCCGTCTCTACTAAAAATACAAAAAAAAAAAAAAAGAGCTGGGCATGGTGGCGCGTGCCTGTAATCCCAGCTACTCAGGAGGCTGAGGCAGGAGAATTGCCTGAACCCAGGAGGCGGAGGTTGCGGTGAGCCGAGATTGTGCCATTGCACTCCAGCCTGGGTAACAAGAGCGAAACTCCGTCTCAAAAAAAAAAAAAAAAAAAAAAGGTGAAAATCTATAAGGGCTTATATATATGGGTATTTCCAGTGTTTTCAAACTGGATTGTAAAGACTTCTTTCTCTTTTTCTTCTCTAAAGTTATCTTGTTGTGGCCTATTTTTTTTTTTTTAAATAAAACTTAAATTTGGCAAATCATAGGAAAGAAATAACATTTTAAAAAAATGTTTATGTTATGTCTGATAAATACTTAATGTTACTGGGGAATGGTGTGTCCTAGCAGATCATTCTATGCTTTTTTTTTTTTTTTTTTTGCACTTTAAGTTCTAGGATACCTGTGCAGAACATGCAGGTAGGTTTGTTACCTAGGTAAATATGTGCCGTGGTGGTTTGCTGCACCTATAAACCTGCCATGTAGGTTTTAAGCCCCGCATGCATTAGCTGTCCTGATACTCTCCCTTCCCTCGTTCCTCACCCCCTGACAGGCCTCAGTGTGTGATGTTCCCCTCCCTGTTCCCATATGTTCTCATTGTTCAACTCCCACTTATGAATGAGAACATACAGTGTTTGGTTTTCTGTGCCTGTGTTAGTTTGCTGAGAATGATAGCTTCAAGCTTCATCCATGTCTTGGCAAAGGACATGAACTCATTCTTTTTTATGGCTGTATAGTATTCCATGCTGTATATGTGCCACATTTTCTTTATCCAGTCTATCATTGATGGGCATTTGGGTTGGTTCCAAGTCATTCTATGCTTTCTTTAAAAATTGGCATTTTAGATTAAGATTGTGTTTTATTTTGAGGAATTTTTAAAGTTCTAATATTCCACAAAGAATTAGATTCCTGATACCCTTTCTCTGTAAGATTGCTTTCTCTGTGCAACTTGATTACCCCTTCCTCTTTTCTGATTTTGTCTTTCAGTTTGGGAGCAGGAGAAACCCTTGTTTATTTCACTGTAGCGGCATGCTGAAGTGGGTTCTCCAGGCGTTCCATGAACCAATGAAATAACAGCTCTGAAATTGTTCTGTACCTAATTAATCACAGGAACTTTTTTGCTTTTGCTTTTCAGATAAGTGTTACATAGTGATCACTGGATCAGTTAGAGTTTTTGAAACTTTTTTCCTAGTTATGAAACTACTAAAAGAACATTGTGAAAATTCCAGAGACATATAAGGAAGAAAGTATCACTCACCTGTATTCCCGTGGTTAAGTAGACAGTTTTAATCAGAGAGAGGAGTGTAGAAGGGGAATTTATCTGTTTATTATAGGAGAAAGGAGAAGGTATTAGTGAGCACAGACATTCAAAGAAACCTTGCAGATCAGCCAGGTTGAGGGGAAATGGGGATAGAGAAAGAGAAAGAAATAGACAAAAGAAAACAGGCAGGACTGTGGAATGGTTTGCATTCTTCTGAAAACAGACTTCAGAGGAGCCAAGAACATAGTAGGCATCTGGCCAAGTAGAGTTCAGTGCAGTTAGTCAAGGCTATGTGTGTGTGTGCCCAGTTTCTGGTTCTGGCGGTGAAATCCATTTCTATGGTAGTGACATTATGATAAAAATCTTAAGAATGTTTAAAAAAAGTAGTAATTTGCTGGGCATGGTGGCTCATGCCTACAATCCCAGCATTTTGGGAGGCTGAGGTGGGCGGATGACTTGAGGTCAGGAGTTCGAGACCAACCAGGCCAACATGGTGAAACCCTGTCTCTACTAAAAATACAAAAATTAGCAGGATGTGTTGATGGGCGCTTGTAATCCCAGCTACTCAGAAGGCTGAGGTAGGAGAATTGCTTGAACCTGGGAGGTGGAGGTTGCAGTGAGCCGAGATCTCGCCACTATACTCCTGCCTGGGCAACAGAGTGAGACTCTGTCTCAAAAAAAAAAATAATTAGAGGAGAAGACACACATTTTCTAGCTAGCTTCACCTTAGAGGGAAGGACAGGGAAGGGTTTGGGCCAAAGATAAAGACTATGGATATGAAAGGAAGGAACCCATATTAACAGTTAAACAGTTGACTTGAATTTACTCCTTAGTGCTTCTGAGTATTACTGACAGGTTGCTTCTCCCATAGGCTGTCAGTTTAAGTGCTGATAATCAGTTGTATGGTTACTTGTCTATGCTGTCTTGCCTGTTCTCTATGTAATTACCCTGAAGGATCTGTGAATAGAAAAAGTTGGCTATTTCTCGATTGGGGCTTGTATAAATTGCCTACAACTGGGACTGTGGCTTGGCTAGCTAATCTTGCCCTTCTTGTCATCCCAGGAAGGTTGGGCCCACCTGGAGAAAGAAGTAGACTAAGGAATCAGTACCTACCAGCCTTGATTTGTTAATCTAAGCCCAAATTTTGAGTCTCACTGGATCTGTAAAGTGAAGTGACACCAGGCTTGTCTTTGTTCAGTGCTGTATATAGCAACTAATTGTGAGAGGATTGTAGCTCTGACCTTTGTTGTTTAGCTTTATGTCTCTGATAATTTATCAGAGGCTATAGAGAATTATTAAATGTTAAGGCAGGCACATTGATTCAAAGACATTTGACATCTTGTCTTAACCTAAGCATTTTAATGGAGGAGAATGCGCGTTAGTCTGATGTTTGTATTTGTTGTTGTATAGATGACCACAGTGGCCTCTACACCATTTCCTTGATGTCTTTCTGACTCAACATTGGTTCTCTGTGATGTTGCTGGAATAATCTTGCTAAAATTCCACATTGGTCATCAGGTCACAAGTTTGGTTTAAAAACCCGTCACTGTTTTTCTAATCAACTCTTGAGTCTTTCAAGATGCTCTGTGGTCTGGGTCCACCCTAATTATCTAACTTTGAAGTCTCACTGGTTTCAGTTTTTTCCCTTTGTATCCTGGATACATGTCTTTGCCCTTTCTAGGAATTCTTCCCTGCTTCTCTCCACTTACATAGATCCTCCCTAATCTTCATTGCCCAGTGCAAGCCTTCTTCCTTTGTTGAAACCTTCCCAGACCTTCCTTATTCTCTCTTCTCTGCACTGTTAGAACCCTCACAGCCTTCACTACACATTGCCATACTTCATTCTAATTACTCTTACACCATGTGACTTCATGGAGTATGTTAGCTTTCATTTCCCTGATAAGAGCATATGACCTGTGAGGGAAAGTATCTTCTGTATTCTTTTTGTAGCACATAGTAGGCACTTGTATTTGTTAAATAATTGATGATGCACATAGGTCTTTGCCTCCCTTTACCCTCGGATATGCACATTTGGAAACTGAGTTGGAGCTCAGTATGCTTATCATTGCAGCATGATTACATGTGGAGTCTGATTGCAGAGAGGTTTTGCTTTTGGTCCACGTTTGATGTTCATGTAAGTAAACTAGGTTATGCTTAAAAAACAATAAGCAACATGAGAATGTGTTTTTGACCTCTTCTTCAGTATATGCCATCCGAGAAGCTGCTACGAACAACCTCATGAAACTAGTTCAGAAGTTTGGTACAGAATGGGCCCAAAATACCATCGTTCCCAAAGTGTTAATAATGGCAAATGATCCTAATTACTTGCATAGAATGACCACTTTATTCTGCATTAACGTAAGTATAACATAACTGTTATTGCTAAGCTTAGGCATTAAAGCAAAATCATTCATGACTGTTTCTGAATTCTGAATATACTGTCTTCTATTTGGAATATATGTCTTGTTTTGATTAATTGGAATAGGAGATGAGAGAAAATGTCAATTTTAAAATTCATATTAAAATCTACAGTATTGGCTGGGCACAGTGGCTCATGCCTGTAATTCCAGCACTTTGGGAGGCTGAGGCAGGTGGATCACCTGAGGTCAGGAGTTTGAGACAAGCCTCGTCAACATGGCGAAACCCCGTCTCTACTCCAAAGTACAAAAATTAGCCAGGCATGGTGGTGTGCGCCTGTGGTCCTAGGTATTGGGGAGGCTGAGGCAGGAGAATCCCTTGAACCTGGTGGGGGTAGGGAGTGGAGGTTATAGTGAGCCAAGATTACACCCATTACACTCCAGCTTGGTGACAGAGTGAACTCTGTCTAAAAAAAAAAAAAACTACAGTATTTTAAAAGTGCAACTTAGTTGTGAATTCTGGTCTAATTCTCTGATCATTTGATTCCTGTGTCCCTCACTGAGCTGCTCAAACTAGAAATATTTTTCTATTGGTCAATTATTTTCTTATTAATTTATCTCATTAGATATTGCAATTTTTTTTTAAAGTGTTTTAAATGTGCCATCTTATTTATATTGCTAGGCACTCTCTGAGGCCTGTGGTCAGGAAATAACCACTAAGCAAATGCTGCCCATTGTATTAAAAATGGCAGGAGACCAAGTAGCAAATGTTCGCTTCAATGTGGCCAAATCTCTACAAAAAATTGGACCAATTCTAGATACCAGGTAAGATTTTAGTGTTTAGTCTTGTTTTTAAAGTGTATTTTAAGTTTTACAATATAGTGGGGGGGTAGTTAGCTAAAATTAAGTTCAGTGATTTTCACTTTACCTAAGATCTGGGTTTACTTAAAGAAAATAATTTAGCAACCATTCTTGAGGATGTCCACTATGACTTTTATATTTAAGCTCTATATATGTGTAGATCATTGTTTGAAGCTACTTTTGCTGAGAATTTCTTTAGACATTGTGTATTTGTCAAGTTAAAAAAATTTTTTTTAACTTTTAACAATTGCCATAAAGCATATACACCAAAAAGGATTTCTCTGGCGCATTAGACCATCTTTCACAGATAATATTTTTGAATGTCAGTGCTTTACAGGGAGAAGTTAAGCCAGTACTACAGAAATTAGGTCAAGATGAAGACATGGATGTCAAATACTTCGCACAGGAAGCTATAAGTGGTATGTATTTCCTCCTTCTGCCTTGCAGCGTATGGTTTGGTTAACTGGGATTTATCTCTATTATGTGAGAGGTGTTAAGGGGGTAGGATGATAAGTGTTATGGGAAGCAGGGAGGGTGGTGAGTTCCCAGAATGCTGGTGTCTCTCTGATTAGAACCCTCTTGGCCCACCATTTTCTCATCAGTGAGCGGGCTGTTTTTCTTAGTTACATGTCTAGGACTCGGTAGGAAATATGATTCTCACTGCTAAGAACAGTTTTTCATTTGTAATTTAACCAGTTTTTAAAGTTGAACTTCTGATTAGCCTGGCTGAGTAAAGACAGTGACCACAATGAGAAGTTGTTAGTCTGATGTGTTGGATCATTATTGTGCTTAATATTCACGTAGATCATTCATAAACTTTCTGTACCACTAACCTGATTTTGTTTGGAATTTTCCAGTTCTTGCGTTGGCATAATGAGGAGCAGGAGGGAAAAAGCCTTTACTAAATTCTTATCACAGATTTCTAGTCAATGTGTTCTTAACTGGGTGGAGAAACATGGAAAACCTTCAAGATCTTATCCAAGCAAATGGCAACAACTTAGAAGAAATCAAATTTTAGTGACTTAATTCTTTCTAAAGATGAAACGGGATTTTTTATTCATCTTCCTTGTTAACTATTTAAGCCATTCTGATGGACCAATTCCTGACACTTGATACTTGATTGTCTCCTAATGCTTTATCCATTGCCACCTGGGCTCCCACACCCTCACTGCAATCAGGCCCCAGCCACATAATGTTCCAGACAAAGCCTGGAGAGGTGTGGACCCAGATGTGGAGTAGAGTGATTCTCTTGATGTTTACATATATCTCTGTGTCTCTCCATCATTCCAAAGTTAAATGTACATGTTTAGAATAACTTATTTTATAAACTCTTCAGGAGACATGTCGAGATTTGACCACAGGGAAAGCCACATTTTCCGGATTATGATGGTCTGCATCAGTCTCACATGAAAAGGGAATGTGAGGTTGGGTGTGGTGGCTCACACCTGTAATCCCACCCAACACTTTGGTTGAGGTGGGCGGATCAGGAGGTCAGGAGTTCAAGACTAGTGTGGCCAACATGGTGAAACCCTGTCTCTACTAAAAATACAAAATTAGCCAGGTCCAATGGTGGGCACTGTAATCCCAGCTACTTGAGAGGCTGAGGCAGGAGAATTGCTTGAACCTGGAAGCAGAGGTTGCAATGAACCGAGATTGTGCCACTGTACTCCAGCCTGGGCAACAGAGCAAGACTCCATCTCAAAAGAAAAAAAAAAAAGGTGGTGGCGGGGAATGTGGAAGCTCAAGGTTAGTGTAGTGGTTGTTTTAATTTTTATTTGCTTGATTTTGTCTGTAGTCATGTCATTCAGAAACCTGAAGTGTGGATGCATCTTGCTGCTAATGTGTGGTGTTGACACCTGACTGAATTTGAATACCTTACCACTGTGCCTACGTTTAAAAATACTTCTCTCTCTTTCCTAAAAAGCTTTACTTGTAGTCTCTTCTAATAAGCAGTATTTCTGTTTCATTGTAAGATTGCAGTTCTGTGTTTTGAATGACTAAGAACCATACGCATAATACTATGCAGGTTTCCTACTCTGCCTTGCCTTGCTTCTAGCAGTATTAACACCTGGTCCTTGCTGCATTGTACGGTAGCTTTTCAAACTGCAGTTTTATTGCTAACTTTTTAGTATGGGTGGTGCTGGAGTCTTACTTGAAGTGTTTGCTTTTCTACTTTTACAGTGAAACCTCATTAATTCTGAAATGTAAAATAATGAGTTAAGCCAAAGAATTTACTGAAACAAATTAATAATAAGGAAGCCTATTTGAACTACTTAAGCAGTTTTAAAGCCCTTTTTAAAAAGCACCCATTTGGGATTATTTGAGGTCAGGAGTTCAAGACCAGCTTGACCAACATTGTAAAACCCCCTCTCTACTAAAAATACAAAAAAGTTAGCTGGGCATGATGGCGTACACCTGTAGTCCCAGCTACTCAGGAGGCTGGGGCAGGAGAATCACTTGAACCTGGTGGGCAGAGGTTGTAGTCTGCCAAGATTGCGCTACTGCACTCCAGCCTGGGTGACAGAGCGAGACTTCGTCTCAAAAAAAAAAAAAAAATTTTTTTTTCACATAAACTCACCTTGTCTCATGAATTTTGGTTAATGAGGTTTTACTATAGTTTATTTTTCTCTCAATGCATCTTGCTATGCAGTTTGCTTGTTACCCTTTTGGTTTTTGAATTGTTGATTTTGTTCACAGCCTCTTTGAAATCTAGCAAGTCCTGTTCTGTTTAGTGAAGGCTCAAAGATGACTCTAAGACTTTGTACATTTGTTACATAAAACCAAGTTTTACTGAATACTTTCAAATTTGTCCTACCTTAGAAAAACAGAACAGAAATTGTAAATCAAAGGTTATCTGTCTGCATTTTAAACTGCCAAATTACCTTACAGTAAGTTTCCATTTTATGACTTTGGACTAAGAAAAGTATTTTCCTAAGCAAAACCTTTTTCTGTATTCTCATTTTAATATGTTAAGCTATTATGCTATAAACATTTTACTTTTAGTTTCATGGTTCTTTATTTTTTATTATCTGCAAGTTATGTGCCTCTGTTGGATTTCATATTTGAGAGACATTTGCATTGGAACCATTGCTTTACTCTGGTTGGAAATGCCATTGGTTTGGGGACAGACTTTTAAAATGCCCTTTCGTCTCCCCCTGGGGAGCCCTAAGCATTGACCTCTCCATCCTAAAACTGTTTGACAGAGGGAGAGTGGACCCTGGCTTTCTTAAGCATGGGTCAGGGGGTTTGTCTTTTGGGGTGACCCCGCAGGGGCTTTATTGTTTCTTTCTGACTTAAGAAATAGAGAGAGAATTTGTTTTGGTGCTCTTCAGAGGAATTGTTCCTTGGCTTGTAACTTGGCCATGTTCTCCGTGAATTAGTTCTCCTGTTTTTTTTTTTTTTTTTTTTTTTTTTAAACTACCTTAAACTTAAGGGAAAAGTTTCCTATCTTGATTTCACTGGAATATAGGCTTTTGGAGCTCTGTAAGGCTGGGATTTTTGTCTGTTTTATCTTCTATTGTATCGCCAGTGCTTGGAACAGTGTCTGGTACACATAATAGGTGCTCAATAAAAATGTGTTCAATGGATGAGTTTCTAAAATATCCTGATGTGTTGTGTGCATAGATCAAATCGTCAAAAGAACCAGACTGTGTCTTATTCTCCCATTGACACAAAGGTTTTCTTGTCTCAGGAAACAAGCTTTATGTGGCCCTTCTGCTGGCTTTGGCTACAGTTGTGTGTGGATTTGTTTGATTGCCTCAAACATGTATTATTGTTGTTTTTCATCCTAGGCAGCTTACATTAGTTGTTTGTTTGATTAGAAAATATGAAGCAGACACACACATACACACGCACAAACATACAACCTATGCCAATAAAAATGTCTCAGCAACAATGGAATTCATCTTGGTGTTTGTCTCTACAATTTATGTGGGGTTTACCCTTCAGGTTTAAGAGAACAGGTCTTGCTTCTCTGTCTGTGCTACCAAGAAGATGTGAACCTGAGGATGCGTCTTGTTTCATAAGAAGGAAAACAGGTGAATATGTGATTTCTAATGAGGCCTTGTTGAAATAACGGGCTGCCCTCAGCTCACAGAAATCCCACAGTGCGGCCACTGTGATGCAGAGCCCCAGGGGGTCTTTGCCAGACAACTTGTCCTGACTCAACAGAGAAGGCAGCTTGACCTTTGAGCTGGTTTGTGCAAGCATTCAGGTTGCTTGCATAGACTTCCAGGGAAGCAAGCCTGTCCTTCCTACCCTGTGGTTAAGCTGTGTTGGTGTTTTCTTGGTGCACTTTTGTTCCTTTGTCAACCCTTGTGCTGTCACTAAGTTGAAAAGCTGGGGCTCGCCCTTAGATGTCACACTGGCTCTGTTCCTGTGGTGACAGCAGGGCAGGGTGGCCAAACAGGTCCGGTGCTTATTCTGTCTTCTTGCCTTTTTCTTAAATTCCTCTGACTTTAAAAAATGGTGAAACTCTTATCGTAAAGCTTCCTATTTTTCTCCACTGCTTGGATATGAAACTGTAGAGGGAAAGGCCCTGTGGCCCAGTGTTCTCCTGCTTTACCAGCTGAGGTGACTGCCCCAGGCTGATGTGACGTAATTGTTTCCCTTTGATTCTCCAGTATTCCTGTTTCCATGCAGTTCCTTACTCCCCTCTTTCCTCTTCCCTCACATGTCTCCCTCCAGTCCTCTGTACCTAGAATAGTCTCACTGTCCCCCGTTTGCCTCCACGAGCTTGCCGTTTCCAGGAAATTACATAACGTTCAGTTGGGATGGAAGGCTGGAGGATGAAGAGAGTTTAATTACTCATTGCGTTGAAAAGCCAAGTCATTTCTGTCTCCAGAGTTGTTCTCTTAAACTGATAGTATGAGCTCTGAAAGGAGCCAGGTCTTTACTGTGGTTGGGGCTCCAGAGGCCATCAGTGACCAAGATATGGGGAACACCCACGTAGGCACCAAAAGGCCCGATGGGGCGGTGCTTTCCAGGGCCCCGAGGGAAAGACACCTCAGCAAGGCCCTGGGTTGCTCCGGCTTTCTCTGCCCAGGGCCCCATATCTTTGTAGGTTACTGCTGGACTTCCTGTCTCTGTGCTGGCACAACTGAGGGCATCCTGGCTGGGAAGCACAGGTGGGCTTGGGATATGCTCTGGTCAGAGAGTTACAGCACCACTGTCTGTGTCTCTAGTAGTGGCACAAAGGCTGAGGAAGCTAGATTTTCCTGTGAAGGGCAGTGAAGAGCCCAGTGTCCCTTGGGTTGACAAGAACCACTTTCCAAGACCCAGAGTGCCTGGAGAGGACACAGGGAAGGTAAGTGCCCTGGAAGCATGGGGCTGAGTCCTGCCCTTGGGGCTGTGTGCAGCCAGGGTGGCCTGGTGTGCAGGGAGCTGCCGCAAGGTAGGCAGAGAATTAGCACCTCTCACTTTGTCTCCAGGGGAAGAGTCCAGTTTTAAGGGCCAGAGTAGATTTTTAAAGCTTGTTGCTGGTTTACTTCCTTTATTCTGGGTATGCCTTCTGTGGGGCGGGTCAGCGGCCAGAGCTGTCACTTGTGGCCTGAGGCCCATCTCCCATTGCCTCCCAGTCGGACAGCAAGGCCCATGCAGAGAACACTGGTAGTTTGGTGAAGAGTTGCTTGTATAAAGGGGCTGTTCCCATTTTCCTCATAGAATATAGGAAGTGATTTGCCACAACTCCTCTCAGTTATTTTCATTCAAGATAAAAATAGTTGCAAGTTTCTCTGTAACAGCTCAGACGTTCTACAAGCCCCATTGGATGCCACTCTGCGTGGGAATGGTGTGCAAAAGTCCCAGTTTGGCAGTCGATGCCAGCCACTGCCCCAGGGCCATTCATGAGGAAAGTGATTTGTAACTTGCAGATACATTCAGCAAAGGAGTGCAGCGGGCCTGGCTGCCTTGTGCTGATGTCAGACTGCGTGTAGTTCATGGGGAAAAATCTGACATTCCCACACCCACTCTAGTGGGTTCGCTATTAAGTGGAAATTCTATTAAGCAACATCAAAAAGGCTGCCTTTTAAGTCACATGGCTTTTCATTTTATGTGAACCAAAGCCATGAAAACATTTTTTTTCTGTTCAGGTCCAGAATCGCAGCTACTCATCTTAGAATGTTCTTGCCTTCCTGAGGGGCTGCATACTTGTCTGGCAGCTCCAGCCGTTTCTGCAGTGGCTGCATGGTGGGAGGAAGTGCTGGGTGACCACTGTCCTGACAGATGCCTGGGGCGGCCAGCCCTTGGAGTCCATGTCCCCTTCACAGAACTGGGCCTCAGGGAGGAGAGGCTGGCTGAAGGAGTGGGAACGAGAGTACACATTTTTTAGGTCTAAACCACAGACTTCTTTGGGAAGAAAGGGGTTACGTCTCTACAAATTCGGAACTAACTGTTCATGCTGTTGGTGCATGGTATGACCCGATGGAGCGTGGATCATTGAGGTGGCTCTCCTATGGCTGACGTGGTCAGCTGTGATGGCCCAGGCTACGCCTCCTAGCTGAGGAGTTACTGAGAATGAGCTGCTGTTAACTTGAGCCTTGGTAACTGTAGCACCTTGTCAGACACTTCACATCTCATGTAATCCTCACTCACCCCCGGTGGTAGGCACTGTCATTATTTTTTGGTCTGTCCTGAAGCTCCCCCAGCCTGTCATGTCTATTTGGGAATCTGTTTTCCAGGAAAGGAGGCCGGGTAGTGCTAGGCCTCTGAGGCTTCAGTTCATTTAACTCACAAAAATCCCCCGCCCCATGACTCAGGGAGCCTTCCATGCATTTGTTTCACTTAAGGAAAATGACCCCAGGGTGAGATGGAAAGGGAATTGGCTGTTGCCAGGCAGAGCCCTGTGTGTCAGGGGCCAGGAGCCAAGTGAGTGATCCAGGAAGTCATCCAATTGCAACCAGAAATTATTCTTAACTCCTCACTGTCTAGGGTGCATAGTTGACTTGCCAGTCTGTCCAAAGGGTGTGAGAGTGAGTGCCTTATGTCAGTTCTCAGCCAGCCTCAGGGCCCTCAGGGAGCCACTGGACATCCCAGGCGCTGGGCCTGCTGCTTGAAGAGAAAATGGAAGGGGTGAGAGCCAGTCCCTCTTCGTGAGGGGTACCTCCTTGGTGCCCTTGAAGTCTGTAGAGGTACCTGTGTGTTGGATGTTATGTGTGTCCCCCCAGGCAGTACCTGCCAGGGAGCAGTGTGGGTCAACTCCCATGCCCTACTGCCCCAGGTCAGCACAGCGGCTTGCTCTTGGACGGTCGAACGGTCAGTCGATGGAGCTGCTGGGAGGCCTTGTCAGGCGAGGGTTAACAGGGGATTTGTTTATTGAATCACGAAGTAGCTGTCACATGATTTTAATCAAAACACCATTTCCCTGACAACAGTGATGTCAGTCTTGTTATTGCAGGAAGGAGCAGCTGTGAGGGACATTCAGTCTCTATGCTGAGCCCAGGTTTGGAGACTGAAGTCAAGTAAAGCATCCATAAATAATGGCTGCAGACACGGCCTGGCTGCGTCCAACCTCCACCTTTTCCTTTTCTCTGTGCGGACAGTCTGTCCTGTATACATACTGACTCACTGAGACCACCACCTTCCTCCCTTGCCCCTTCTACTCTGGTTTCTGTTTTTTCCTGCCTGCCTTATTTTCTGCAGAGTGTCCCTTGAGCCCCGAGGGTCTCTGAGTTGTGCCTGTTGATGTGTGTCTCTTCTGTGGATTTAAACTGCTGGTGAACCAGGCCGTTCTGGGCCTGAGGCTGGGGTCATTCTGCAGCTCAGGAACCTTGCTTGTCCTAGAGCCAGCCTCTAGCATTGGGGGAGGGCTACGTGTCCCTGTCACTCCAAGAGATTAGGCTGGCAGGGCCTACTTGCTGTCCTGGGGATCTCAAGGGCAGCTCTGAGGAGCTCCGCTGGGAGGTTCCTGAAGGGGAGGAGCTTCTTAAGGGCCCAACCTCTCGGCCAGAGCATTAGTTCCCTTGAACCCAGAAAGACTACAGGAGGTGTGAGTCCAGTCGAACTGAGGACTGATGACAAAAATCAAAGCCCAGGGATGCTCGATCCCATTCCTGGTGGTCTCCAGCTAAGGGAATTGGACCACGAAGTCCATCAGGAAGTCAGACATAGGCTGGTGACTGGACCCGCTGTAGCAGGGTCCTTCAGCTCTGACCTGCTCTTGGCACCTTCTTCCCTGTGGCGCTTGAAGACTGAGCTGTTTGCACAAAAGGACTCCCCCAGGCCTTCCAACTCCTTTCCACCCAGGAGCTTGACCTAAAAGTTGGGGATAAAAAAGTCTTCCTACTGTGACATACATTCTCAGGCATGTTCTTATGTTTGTGGTACCTGTGGCTGATGCTGCCTATAACTCATTTCCGGAAATTCAGAACTCCTGGGGCAGAGTTCCTGGTTCTTAGCCTGGAGCACATGCTCAGAACAGCACAACCACCTTTATGTCTGTGAAGACAGAGCTCATAGGCAAGAAGCAGCCGTTTTCTGTATCTGGTGATGCGGCAGTCAAGCGTTAAAGCAAGACAGGCCAAGTGGGACTCTGTGACAGCTCTCCAGGGGGTGGGGGTCTTCCAGGCAGTGCCATGCCAGGCTGCATTTATTTGCCCCTTGAATTAAACCCAGGGTGAGGCCAGCCAGCCTGTGCTCCAAGTTACCGCTGGAGATACCAGCCTTTACAATGATTGAGCAGGGTTAGTGGCAGGGCTGAGAGGGCGCCAGGGGCTGAGGCCTCTTGCCAGAAGTTCTGTGCTGCCTCCCGGACTGTCCCTGGCTGGAGGGTGGCCAGGTGGCAGCTCCTGGGCTGGATGGGAGCTGGGTCCTCCTCTCCCAGGCTTGCTCCGTGCCCAGCCCTCTGCCTGGCCCTCTCATCCCTGGTTCCCTCCCACTGCCTGCTTGCCCTTCGGCTCTCACTTTGCTGGCACAGGGGTGCTGGTAAGCATTCTGGCTGTGTAGTGACTGGAAGGCAGTTCTGGTGGGTCCCAGATGGAAGAGACAGGCAAGACTGTGGACTCCGGGCGCTGTGTGTGGCATGCTTGGAGGAGAGGCCTTGGTGGCTTTTCCTCCATTCCATTGTGTCCCACCCCCAACTATGTGGGTGACCCTTGGGTGACAATGAATGGACTCCTCAGGGTCCAAGTTGTCAGTCAGCCTACTTTGGGCATCTCACTTTTGGGGAATGAGGAGGGAGCTGGAGCCAGAGCTCTCCCAGCCAACCTGAGAGTGACTCAGTTCTGCTTTTGAGAGGCTCAATCCCTATTGCCTTTCTGCTTGTCCAGCTTTTGGGGGCTCAGCTCCAGGGGAAGTCTGCTTCCCATGCTGCGCTCCCTCCCTTCTCTCTCCTCCCTCCCAGACCCTGTGCTGGCTCGGTGGCCCAGCTCATGCTTTCCTTGGGCTTGGACTCTCTCTTTGCCAATTTCAGAGCAGCTCTGAGTCAGTCTGCCCTAGGAAATCCCCCCAGAAACACATACAAAGGGAGGCAGCAGCAGGAAGTCTTGCTGGAAAGACCAGTGGCAGAGGTGCCCGGCAAGCTGCCTGTCCTGCCTGACCTTGGATTCGGCCTGAGTTATTTGTGGGCACAGCTTCATACCTGGGGGGAAGCAGGTGTGCCAATGATGCCTATCTGAGGGAGGGCCCAGGCCCTTCGCTTCAGTCAGGACCCACATCTGCCTCCTAAGGGACGTTGTCCAGGATGATTCCTGTGCAATAACCCATTGCTTAAGGGCTGCTGCTCAGCTTTTGAAGTCACTGGTGGGGCTGAAATGAGAACAGCAGAGCCATGCTCTCAGCCCGCAGAGCAGAGCAGCCACGTTCTGTGCAGGTGACATTTCTTTTGTAGCCACATAGCATCCAGGAATCCAGGATTTAGTGCATAAAGACCAGAACTTCCTCCCATGGTGCCAACAGGCTGCAGGCAGGGCAGGAGGCTCCTTGTCATCTGGATCCACCCAGGGACAGATTAAACCCCTTCAGCAAGGAGGGTCCCTGTGAGCTTTTTTTTTTTTTTTTGAGACTATGGCCCAGGCTGGAGTGCAATGGCATCATCTCTGCTCACTGCAACCTCTGCCTTCCTTCAAGTGATTCCTCCCAAGTAGATGGGATTACAGATACCTGCCACCATGCCCGGCTAATTTTTTATTTTTTAGTTGAGATGAGGTTTCACCATATTGGCCAGGCTGGTCTTAAACTTTTGACCTCAGGTGATCCGCCTGCCTCTGCCTCCCAGAGGTTCCTAACTTTGGTCCATGGCAGGGAGTGGGGGCTTCATGGGGCCCAGGAACCAACCTCTGTCCTGAAATTCTATGTCCCAAGTTCTGGGTC